TTTTTAAAAATTCTCAGACTCTTCAAAAAAAAAAAGAAACAAGGGCCGGGTATTTAGCTCAGTGGATCCACCACCTGTCGTGCAAGCTAAGGACCAGAGTTCAATCCCCGGTACCAAAAAAGAAGAAACAAAAAAAGAAACAAAATGCAATTTTGAGTATCTTTACTACCGTCTCAGGTTACATAATTGTTCTAAACTTAATTCATATCATTCAACAAGAATGTTTCATTTTTATTCCATGTACAATACTACAACTAGGGAGAGAAACATTAAGACATGAAAAATGATACTGTTTGCAAAAGTTTCCGTCCATCATGCTTTCAACAACATAATCCCCAATGTTCTGTGTGCAAATTTACCTGATCTGAGTAGGCTAGCTGAAACACACACACACAGCACCCATCAAGAAAGAATACTGTAATTAAAATTAATTTTTGTTCTCATCTATATGAAAAACTCACTAAGCCAATAAAACTTTGATTAAAAGACATCTTTTTTAGGGGTCCTAATGAGAGGGTACAGGTGGGATGAACTACATATTAGTTTCTTCTAAGCTGTCCATCAGTCATTAACAAGTGGCAATCGCCATTAAATGCAATGAGACAGAGCTAGCTTCCAACTGTCTGAAATTCTGTAGCAATTTTATTTTTCAAAGTGGATGCCCTTCTGTGTGGGAAAAATAAGTTTCTCTTGCATCTGTACATTCACATTAAAATAAGTCAGTTTTTTATTGAAAATTTTGATTATGTCATTTAATAACTAAGGGTCTCCATAGGTAAAGAAAAAAATGATCTTTGTCAAAAAGGAAAACCTTTAATCAAGTCCTAACATTTGAATTGGAATGACAACTGTTTCTGTTTTCAGTGTTTGGTACATTACATTTCCAGACCTAAAACTTTTGTGGTATACGATAAAGCCCTTTAGATTTAGAGCATATTGATTTAAATAACAACGAGGGTACTAAATTTCTTACTTTGAAAAGGAAAACCCTGTAACTATGTACAACAGATCAAGGAAAGAGGTAATGTAATCATCAAAAATTTCCAACGCCTGCCTCAAAAGCGCAAGGTGCCGAGTTTGATCGCCAGTACCAAAAAAAAACAAACCAAAAAACACAAAAATATGGTATTTCTTTTCACCTAAAAAAATATGAAAAAATAACACTATATTTTAAGTTATAAATCTGAATAACACTGCCATAGGGAACTTTAGTTAGGTATTTGTACCTTAAATTTTCATTTAAACAGTAAAAAAATCCTGTAGATGGTCATATACACAGATGTGTCTACACTTTTTAAAACATTGTGATTTACAAGACAACATAAAAATGTTGCTGCATTTGTGAAACTAAATTTTCTATACAGTACTCAATTCCTAGAACATGGGTTCCCAAATTGGCTCTTTGTTGCAATTTCTTTTTCTTTCTTTTTTTTTTTGGTACCCGGGTCCTTGCACTTGTGCAGCAGGCGGCAAAACCACTGAGCTAAATCCCCGGCCTTTGTTGCAATTTCTTAAGGAGTTTCTAAAATGCAACTGCCTGAATCTCAACCCTTAAGAACTCTGGTTTAGGGCAGGGGATTTAGCTCAGTGGTTCCAGCACCTGCCTCGAAAGAACAAGGTCCCGAGTTCAATCCCCAGTATCATAAAAAAAAAAAAAGAATTCTGGTTTAATCAGCCTGGGTTGATATCTGAGTACAAAAAATTTTTACAGCTATTCAGCTGAGTCTAACATAGAGCCATAGTTGAGTGCCACTAAAATACAAAGAAAACTTAGAAACTTCAGTAAACCCAGGTGTAGTATGCAACTCAAGACATTTCTTGGCTATCAGGAGGTGAACAGGGTCTTTAGACAACCCAACTTGAAGTCAAAACATCTGAGGCTAAATATGAGTTACAGATTCTAGACATTCAGAAATTACTTGGGTAGCCATCATTAAGTTTTTGCAATTATTAAATGTTAGTTTTCAAAAAAAGATCATTAACAAAGAAGGAAATTAAATACTATTAAGCATCAGCTTACACTTGCCATTCCTGCATCTACAGTATTACTTAATTTCATTGGGGGTAGGTATTATTAAATTGTTTAAGAAGAAAAAAGTTAAAGACATTCACTAGGATTTTGTAACCTTTGTCAGACAGTGAAGTTCTTTACACTCTATAGTGCAAAAGGATTATAAGGCAGCTTGTTTCAAAAACTTTTCACAACTTTCAAGTGTGAAAACAAAACATAAAAAAGAAAAAAGAGGATTCAATGTTAGAACACAGGGTAAGGCGAACAAGCTTAAACAAGTAGGTAAGCCAGTCCCCATTTCCACACTTTGTATGCATCTGACAGCAGACTCTGGGAAAAAAAAAAAGGTAAGTTTGTGGTTCAAATTTACACCAGCCTTAGGAGTTGCTGGGTTTTGTATGCTAAAGAAATTAAACAACTGGTCTCCTACTGCTTTCCAAACTATTAGTGATACTGCAGTCACACATTTGGGAACTCAACTGGACAGATTAGAACTGGCTAGTTATTCAGAAAACCAAGTCAGAGAAGGATCTTAAAGATGGTTTTGGTTTTTTCCCAAACTCTAAGATTATTGGAACTCTTTCTCCCAAGTTTAGAGACCACAGTTTTGACATAATAGATTTGTAGTGAGTGTGGATTTATACTTTAACTTATGCCATTAAAAGTCACGTATTAATTTACTAGTTAAAAGCTATCTTTAAAAAATCCAGCTCCTGAACAGTTTGACCCATCTTAATTTTCAAACTGAGCAAGTTTTTCATAAAAGGGGGATGGTGCAGAGCAACAAATCCCACCCTGGCCATCAGCACTGACCTATCCTGAGACACAGTATCTTTTCTTTCTCAGGCTCCTACCTTGTTAAGGGACATAAATTCAAAGAAGCCATACTTGGTTACATCAGAGGCCCAGAGAATACTCTGATCTTGCTACTCTAATGAATGGCACAGATTTTCCTAAAACACATTCCAAAATAATAGTGTGTTGATAAGGAGTAACTTCTCAATGCACTGGCTTGTAGTAAGGCTGGATTTCTTTTCTATTTCAAATAGTACTAATTATAATTTAACCACACTATAAAAAATGTTATGTAGTTTATTTTAAAATCACACACTCGGTCAGAGGAGGAGGAGAAAGAGAAAGAAGAAGCCCTAGTTTATTTCCTATAGTCCTCCAATATCTTTGGGGCTGAGTAAGAAGATGAGTTGGAAAAATATATACCCAATTAAGATGGAAGAAACTACAATGGCTCCCCGTACAATCTCTAACTTATTAAAGGTGAGACAAAACAAGACTTGCTCTTCTTAATAAAGAATACATACCTTTCATTCAAAGATGAACATCTAGCACCTACCCTAAAACATTAGGGTAGCCAATTCTCTCACATTCAGGTCCCACACTCAGGAAGCATCCCTCAAGCCAGACATGGTGGTACACACCTACAATCCCAGCACCCTGGGAGGCTGAGGCAGGAGGATGGAAAGTTCAGGCCCAGCTTAGGCAAATGGACTAGGGATATAACTCAGTCCCAAGGCCCTGGGCTCAATCCCAGAACCACCTCCCCCAAAAAGCTGTTAAGTTTTACAAGTTTGACCCCACATACAGTAATATTAAAATCTGTCCTTTAAATGGGCACTTTTTAGAATGGGGGTGTTTATGTGAGTATGTGAGTGTGTGTGTGTGCATGTCATTTGCAACATGAAAAGTCATATTTTTGCACAATCACCTTCAAAATATAAGTATACGAACAAAAATGCTGATGGGACAAATGTAAATTCAAAGACAAACTGACATAATGCTAAAGGAAGTCATAATTCTCTAATTGTAGAAGTGAAAGACACTAAAAAATTTGTCCTTTTTCTTAACAACTAACCCTAATTGTTTTTAAATTTCAGCTTTCATCCCATCCTCTCCCCACACATACTCCCACAAAGCCTCTAGAATATCAAAGTTAGGACACAATGTTACAAAAAAATTACAATAAATTTAGGGTTGGATAATAAACTAGTGAACACTCCTCTATGAATACACTGATTCGGGCCGAGGATTTAGCTCAGTGGTTCCGCCTCCTGCCTCGCAAGCGCAAGGTCCAGAGTTCTATCCCTGGTACCGCCCCCCCCCCCCCAAAAAACCTGATGCAGTATGTGTATCAACTCAGTAAAACATTCTCATGATAGTAAAACAAGAAAGAATCTGTACATTGCACCACTGCAAGCAGCAGATGAGCACGAAGCAAGTTTTCACCTGGTCCCTGCTAACCCAGCCGTCAAACACTTGGGCAAACCGCAAGGCCTGTTTCATAATGCAACACCTTTATTTTCTCTTATCCTTTAGTAAACTCTACATACACACATTTAAAAATCTTGCTCATTAGTTACCAGTGTCCTTCAACCCAGATCAGGTGTCCTACATTTTGTTTAGATCCCGCCTTGAAAACAAACCCAATTGCCCCATTTTCTGAGAGGTAAACTCAGCTCTAGGCAGCTCCCTATGAAGTCACCGCGTTTGTTGTTTCAAAGATGTAATTACACGAAAATGACACGGGGCCGTCAGAGATGAGCTGGAAGTGTGTGGCGGTGTGGCTCACAGAAATGTGAGTGCAATGAAAACTGCACTGCTGTAAGTCCCTTAGGAACAGTATCTGTATCCACCCTCTCTTCTCCAAAGCAGTCACAATTGAAAGAAGCTAAAGTTTGTCAGAACTGTCCTGACTTTAGCTCAACTCCAGCTTTGCAACTCTCCGCTGGCACCATCAAACCCTGTGCACAGGGATGGGGGAGCCTGTGGGAAGGAGAGCTTTTGAACCAGGAAAGCAACAGAGTTGGCGTCAAGCACTGTCCGCTTGGCCTGTCACCGCCCCTCCGGCCCTGCCACACACGTTCCTAGGCGGCCCCGGACCACGCAGTCCCTCGGTCACCGCAGAAATCCGAAGCAGACCCGGTGCTTCCCCGAAGTGCACTGACGGAGCCGTTGGCGCGGGAGCGAAGGGGCGATGTCACCGGAGCCGCCCGACCTCGCGGCCCTCCGGGCCCCATACCTCGCTGTGTCCCGCGGGGGCGAGGGAAGTGCCCGATGCAATCTCATCTCCCCACCACCACCACTAACACCAAAACTAGGCGCCTTCCACCTTCTGGGGATCGGGGGCCCGCGCCTGAGCAGCAGGAGGAGCCGAGCGCAGCGTCAGAGCCTCGCCCGCACGTGCGCCCGCCTCGCGCCGCCCGGGCCCTCCACCCCGCCGCCGTCCTCACGCGCGCCCGCCGCTCTCTCGCCCTCCGGCCTCCCCCACGGTCCTCACCCGCGCGACCGCGAGCCCGGGTCCCGCCGGCTCTTCTCCGCGGAGCTGGAGGGAGCGTGGGGCGCGCGCGGACCGCAGCCGCATCTCCCGGGCACGCGCCTCGAACGCCCCTCGGGCGACCTCGCCGGCCCGGCCCGCCCGAGCGCCGCGCAGTGCCGCGTTACGGACCTCGCGGAGCCTTGTGCGCCTCAGCGCCTGCAGCGGGCTCCAAGCGCGGCCCGGGCGTCGGAGGCGGAGCGGAGAGCCCAGGAGCGCTGCTGCTCGCCAGCAGGACGGTCCGTGGGGTCAGAGACCATGGTGTGTCACCTCAGCGCCGCGCGGCCGCCCGAGCGACTCCAACCCTCCGCGGGCTCCACCTCAGGCGGCCGCGTCGGCCCCGCCCCGGCCTGTCAGTCAAGGCTCCAGAGGCCCGCGCTTCCCTGACCCTGCGCTCTTCTCTATCTCATTGGCCGGTGGGGCTTTCGGACCCGCCCCTCCCGCGGGACAAGGTCGCCAGGGGAGACTGGCGCCCGGTTCCCATGACGACCAGCCGACCAGCGCCTGGGGCCTGGTTCGCGACTCGGCTCAACGCGCCCCAAGCGCAGGTGGAAGGCCGGCGGCGACGCGCCGGGTCCCTGCAGGGTGGAATCGGGCTTTAGGCCAACCTGAGGACTCAGTGGACTGTCTCTACCCTTCCACCTCAGAAGCAGAACTTGACGGGCCTGGGGAATTCGGGGTGGTGGGGGCAGGACCGCTGCTCTTCCCCTAACAGTCGAAATGATCCTCCCAGTCTCTAACCTTGTTTCCAAATTGTCGTCAGGCTTTGTCTGAGTTTTGGCGGCAGGGGAAGAGGACAGAAAGAGCAGAGCCGTGCCCTCTCCCTGCAACGACCCAGCCACCTAGCAGTGGTGAGGTCATCCACAACCGCTTGGGGAGCTTTGCCACCGCTCAAAGTGAGCCGCAAAGGTGTGGTGGCAGCGCACCCTGAAAGGCCCTTGGGAAAACTTGGGTACTCATTTTTTGCAAAAAAATAAATAAAAATTAAAAAGTAAATTTTTATGTCCTAAGAAATGAAAGCAATCCTAAAATTTAAGCAAAAGGTTTAGCATAATCAATAAAATAATTTCATTTTTCTATGCATTCTACAATTTGACAAAGGTATATTCTGGTAGCTATGTCTCTTCTGAAAACTAAAAGATCTGACTTTCAATAATTTACAGGGAAGTATTGTAGAATTCATGAGCAAATAGTGTCTTACCATTTGAGTTTTTGGCTTATTTTTAAAGGTACAAGGTAACCTGTTCCCCTCAGGGAAGGGGACCCCCCCCCCAAGTTAATAGAGTCTGAGACCCTAGTGTTGTGCCCTGATGGAGTCTATTTCCTTCATGACTGGCTCCAAAATGGAGAGATCTAGGTTTATCTGCCTACCCCAAGAAAGCTGCGGACCTAGGCTCCCTAGCCCCTGAGGCTGCCCTACATGCATGATGAATGAGGGAATTAATAGTAATGATTTACCTTTGGCTAGCACTTGAGTTTTCATTATCTCATTTACTAAATAAATAACTGTGATGGATGTCTTCCCTCAAATATGCCTTGCCAGGGTGCACTGAAAGTGATTACTCACAGGGCTGAACACAATGCAGAATGCACCGCAGAATTCTAAGATAAAGTCCCTGCCTTCAAGGAGCTAACCAGAGATCCTGAGAAAGCCAGCCCTCTTGAAACAATTTGAAGACTGTAGCTAAAATATTTGGCCAGCAGATAAGAGAAAATGTTCAGCAGCAGATAAGAGGAAGTTATGGAGGAAGAAAATTTAATCTGGGCTTTAAATGGCAGGTAGTGGAATGAATGTAGTGAAGATGAGGCAATGCAGTTGAGGGAAACAACACCAAACAAAGGATCAGGAGGAATGTGTGGAAAAAGTAAATAACAGTGAGATGGCTTGCCTTTTTGGAGTGAAGACAAGAGAATGGTTGGAGTTCGTGGTTGGTGGTGGTTTTTTGTTGTCATTGTTTTGTTTTTCCAATCTATGGTAGATAAGCTTGATTGTGTCAACTTGATTGGTTTGGGAATCTCCTAAGAGATTACTAATAAAGCACACTTCTGGTTGTGTCTGGGTAGGTGATAAGGTGTGAGTTTGGAGACTGTATGGTCCCAGGCCCCTTCCTCTCTGGCACTGTTCACCTTCTTTGTTTCCTGGCTGCCATGAACTGAATGTCTCTGCTCCACTAGGCCCTTTTGCTGTGATGCTTCCACCTTGGAACCAGTTGACCATGGACTGAATCCTCTGAAATCATGAGCCAAATTAAGCTTCATCACCTGTAAGTTGTGAGTGCGGGATATTGTGTTCCAGTGACAGGAAAGCTAATTGATACATAGCCTTTCCCAAAGTTTTCCATGTTGTGGTCCATGTCATTTCAGGGCAGTAAGACAGTTAGGCTTGGAAGTACAAAAAACTTCATCCAACATCTGTCTCTGCCACTGAAAATGCATGTATTTTTTAGAAAGAAAACGAATATGCATAATACCTGCAATAACTTGTGAAGTTGTATCAGAAAGTATGAAAAGAATGATGTTATAAATTTTCACAAAAGTAGACAAACCACAGTGTTGTGAGCATTTTTTTTCTTTTGCATTAAGGCCATTTCAGGTGGTTGCCTCTGAGGCTTTTCCCCCAGTAATCCCTCTGTTTGGGATGAGCTGAAAGACTAGTTTTAAAATAAAACCAGATACACAAAAGGGAAATCTATAGGTTAATCTCCTTTTGGATATAATGTAAAAATAAAAATATAATATTAACACATATAACTCGGCTGTACATAACAAATGATATGCCAAAATTAAGAGGAATTATTCCAGGTTTATAGAATCAGTTTGATAATAGAAAATTTTTCATAGAGTTGTCTACATTAATAGGTCAAAGGAGAAAAGAGTATGTCTCAACTGATGCTGAAAAGATTTTCTAAAATGAAGCATCATTCCTAATAAAAACATTTTAAGAATTTGGAATAGAGAACTCTGAAAAAGGTATGTTATACCAATAGATATGGTATACCAATTTGCTTTATATACTGCAATTGTTTCCACTGAAGCCAGAACAAGGCAAGAATGCTTACCTTCAGGATTGTCATTTGCTTGCAAATGATATGAAAACCCCAAAGAATCAACTGAAAAACATTTAAAAGCAGTAAAACATGAGTTGAAGCAGCCAGTTATAAAATAAACACAAAAACCAAGAGCTTTTCCATATGTAAACCATAAACAATTAGAAAATACAATATAAGTCAGACCTAGTGGCACACATCTGAAATTCCATCTACTTGGAAGACTAAGGCAGGAGGACTGCAAGTTTTGAGGCCAGCTTGGGCAATTTAGTGAGACTTTGTCTCAAAATAAAATAAAAGAAGGCCTAGGGATGTAGCTCAGTGGTAAAGCACTTGCCTACCATGCATGAAGCTCTGGGAAAATAAAAATTGTTGAATAGGAAATTTACAAGAGAACAAATACAGAATGCAATGAATATTTGCAAATAAAACAACTGTGCTAAAGAAAGGAAGACTAAAAGAGAAACATGATATCATTTAAAACTACCAATTTGTAACTATTTTTAAAGACATAATATCTAATACTGGTGAAAATATGAGAAATAGATAATGTCCCATGGGAATCCATAGGTGGACTCCCTCCATTCTGGAAATGTGTGTTCAGTTTATGTCTATAAACACAAATACACATACTTGGGATATAATCTTGGGGATCTGAATGGGATGACTAGGAGTCCCATATAAAAATTACTGCGATACACTTAGTGCTTCCCAAGGATGATTCTTAGGTCATGAACATCCTGAGGCCTATATACTACTTTATGTTTGATTAAGTGTTTTTTATAGGAAATGTATCTGTATGTTTCAAAAAATTGTCCAGAATGCTAAGATTATGTGCTTTAAATGTCAATGTTTAAAACATCACTTTTTATCTCCAAGGGTGAAATTAATTCTGGACTAATCCAAAACTGTAAACAGCAGTGTTTTCTCAGCTGGCTTCTTGTGTTGGTCTCAACATGAAATATTTGTATTCTGGCTTGGACCAGCTATGTTAGTGTTTTTCTCACCGTTAAACCAGAAATGTATTATCTCTTCTTGGTTACAGGCTGAGGACTGTGATGGGAACTTTGCCCAGGTGAGAAGCAGAAGCAAGATAAGTAATCCAGCAAAACATGAGCAGGTAATTGGAGCACAAACTCTGACATTGCTTAAGGAAAACTTTATGAGGCTGTACTGACACTTGCAAGTGAACTAGCTAGGGAAAAAATGCAGGGGTAGAAAGCAGATAGGACTATAATTACCCTCTGGTCCAGTGGATAAATAGGTTATTTTCTTTTGGGGGCAGCCAGACTCTCTTTAAAATTTGAGAATTCCCCTAGGATGTCGAGTTACATGACAGCAATGGCACAGATAACTAACTGTTGGGAGGCAGCCTGGAAGTTCAGTACCTTGAAAAGAAGACCCAGGTGCAAACTTTGGCATACCACCTGACTTCTTTGACCCGCAATTCCCTTGTTTATAAAGTGCAAGAAATAAGAACAGCTGATGATGTTCCACACATGGTAAATATTCATCAGGATCAAATGAAATCTGCATATGACAAGTGTTTGTAAACAGCATAGCACTATTTTAAAAAATCAATCAACAACAGCAACCAAAAGCTGTATGGATTTTGGAATTAGTGTTTCAGACACTCTCTTTCATTCTTATTAGGTACTAGAACTAGCTAGACTAAGTTAGAAAAATTTAGTTGTGATACTTTTGTATTCTGCACTTGTCTTTGCCAAGCAACCTCCTTTTGACACTTAACTCTCAGTTTCCCCTCCCTGGCCTCAAACTGCCCAGGGCTAGTTACAGTACTGGGAGCGGTGCTCTTGCTTGTTAGGCTACACGTCTGTTCTTATTTGATCTGCCAGGGGTTTCCAGGCTCTTCCTGAACCAAAACATTTTCCACACCTTCATTCTTTGGGTGCAAACTTTCACTTGCAGTTACCATTGAGTTAATCTGCAAAGGTGATATCTTGAGAGAGTCAGAGATAAAATTCCCTTACCGTCCAGCCTTTTCTCTGACACGAGTGTGGGTTAGTTTGTTAGATTAGGTAGTTGTCATTTTAAACTGAGGGAGATACTAGAGCAGTAAACTGTAATTAATGAAGGAGAAAGAGGAAAGAGGGGAAGCTAGTTTCGAGAGAGAGAGAGAGAGAGAGAGAGAGAGAGAGAGAGAGAGAGAGAGAGAGAGAGAGAGAACCAACCAAAGGAGGGGACAAGGGCGGTACACTATATGTAACATGAAGGGGGTGTGGGACTGAAGTCAAACTACCTAATTCACGTTTTTACTAGGGTTGGTCCTGTCTCTGACTCATTTCTACTTCTTGTTCTGGCAAGTTATAGAGCCACCTATTCAATTTGGTTGAAAGGAGTATGGCAAATAAGCATAATATTTCTGGTTTTTCCAATCTGACCCTGTTGGAACAACACTGAGTAATTTAATGTGAATATACTGTCATCCAAACCTGACCCAGAGCGACTTGCCTGATGGTTCCTGGCTGCTAATCTTGGTTTTTAATGTGCTCTCTCAATGGAGACCAAGACAAAAGTTTCTAGTTATGTCCTGTTTTCAAGAGGGTGATTTTACACTGACTGATGGGAGCAGGCTGCTGTGTAAGAAAACTGACAATTAGAGGCTTGTGAGGTGGAGCTGGAATGTTTAACATAACAAGGCATCACTTTAAAAAATAATTTTAAAATGAATTGCCTTGATTTTTACATTTACCCCTATAGTGTCTAATGGAAAATTTAGAAGGGAAGTGGTCTTAGGTAGAGAGCCTAGCTAACCATTGGAAGACCAAATCCTGACTTACAGTATTCGTATAAAAGAGGGAAATGCTGACCCTGATGTGTTGACAACAACATGAAGACAGGGAATTTATCTCAGAGAGCTGAAACTGTTAGGCTGAGTAGTACTTCAGCAAAAATGAAAGCAGAGAACTGTAAAACATTATACAGACATAATGCAAGTGTTTTACTTTTACAAAAAAACCTATCATTACATTCATTAGCCAATCTTTTTTTTCTGAGCATGAAAATAATTTATTGATTAGACATCTGATTTATTCAAGCAGTAGGCCTACTGAACACAGCTGTGGAGTAGGAAAAAGAATTCCATCCAGCACCTGAATCATTTCAAATTTCCTGGGGACAGTTTATGCATTCTGTATTATAGCCTCACCCTAAAACATCCACATGTGCTTGATGTGGATTAATCTTTTAATAAAAGGACATGAGAAGCTTTGTGTATACCCAAGTTGGCAAGTTTCATTAGTGATATGACTTTCAGAAACATTCTTAGACACAATAGCATTGCCTGCAGTGACAGTCTTTGATAATTAAATAAAAGACTACCATTAAATATAATCTTACGAGCAGAAAGGAAAAATATATGCACCTTTGCCAATAGATTGCTTTACATATTGGGGAGAGTGTCATAACAAGATTTTTCCTTCTATGAGAGTAAAAATTACCTTTAACTGACATCAACTTTTAATGGATACCTAAATATTAAAAATCGGACAAAAATAAAACCAATTTAACCTAAATGCAATTTAGGGAAGAAATGTAGGTCTAATCATATGAAAAAAGAGCTGCACTTCTTTGGCTAACTCAGTAAAAACTGCCAATTGAACATTTTCAGATAAATTTTATTTTTAAAAAAGCAGTAGATCAACATTACAATTCAAGAATCTAATCTAAGTATGCACTTGACAATGAAGTACATATGAGTATGGAGGGAAAAAGATTTTCCAAAAAACCATCAAATATATTATCTCCAAATACCCAAATAATAAAATGCTTCTATAAGCCTTTTGTTAAGTGGAATCATAAAGAACTAAAAATTTATTGCTAGGAAAACAAATCTGTAATACAGTAGTATGAATCTTGGGTA